GGACACCCATAAAAATGCACTTACAGTAGAACCTTGGTTAGCAAAGGCTCCACTAAAAAAATTGACTAACGACAAAGAATTTTCATTACATTTACCTCACTTGGCAAAAAAATTTCACTTGACAAAAAATTAATGCATTATCAGTCACCGCAAAATTGTGCATAGAATGAAAAGTAGTTAATCTAAATTATGATTTATTTCTCTAAAAAATGATACTTGTCACTAAAATATTACTTTCTGTTTCAGGTATGTTTTTTATGATCTTTTCTTTTTATAATGAATTCGCTTGATCCAATTAAAATAGTGTGAAATTACAAGCCATCCTGTAAGCTTACAGATACAGAAGAAATGCTACTTGGCTGCTGATATAAAGCTTGCAGTGGATAAGGTCATTGTAAATGTACAATGGCATGTCCATGGATGGTTATGTCATATCAAAAATATGGTAATGTATGGATATGGTAATATCATATCAATAAAGGAAAGACAAGCACAAATCACAGAAAATATCATTTATTCTACATCTACACCATCTACAAAGGAAGAGGAAAACTTTGGAGTACTGTTACTCTGTTAGTAATGGAAGAGTACACTTTGCATGCTTCAAACTTTTTAAAATTATGTTTTATTTCAAGTGTCATGAATTACCCCATTTCTAGGGGTAATTTGAAATGCTTTTTTTTTGCATCTGGCACCTTACAAATAGCATATGGAATTTTTTTCAGAGATTCCATAAGATATCGCTTGCAAAGATAGAAAAAGATAGAAAAAGAAAAAAAAGTGAGCTCACTTTTTTACAACACTTCTCTTTAACTTCACTTCTTGTTTGTTTGTTTGTTTGTCTGTCTGTCTGTCTGTCTGCTACAAATCTTGTAATCAAAATTTAACACACTTCTACTTATCCTATCGATCTGAAATTTTGCACACTTGTGTAAAGTTGGAGACAATGCATGAATCAAATGTCAAAATTAATGATTTTAAAAATTAAATTTTTTTTCAATATTAAAAAAATTGAAAAAATAATTTTGTCAGCTACAAATCTTATAACTGATATTTGACACACTTTTACCTGTCTAATTGATCTGAAATTTTGCACACTTGTGCGAAGTCGGAAGCAGTGCATGAATCAATTAATAGAATAAATAATTTTGAAAAAAAGTATATATTAAAAAAATTATATATTGAAAAATTTAAAAATTAATTTTTTTAACATTTGAAAATTAAATGAGAAATTCATTGTACATCTGTAAGATTGGAGACACTGGATTCTTTTGAAGTGTTGCCTTTAAAAAGTAATTTTTAAATATATATTTTTTAATCTGTGGAGAAAACTATGTTAGATGCAAAACGTCTGAGTTGTAGCTTAGAAACCCATGGCATACTTATACCTTGTGATAGGTTTAGAATTTTTTAGTTATTCATGGTATAGATCAGTGGTTCCCAAAATGGGCGATATCGCCCCCCTAGGGGCGGTGGAAAGATTTTGGGGGCGATAAGGAAGAAGAGGTCGGTAGGGGGGCGATATGGGGGGCGGCTGTCCAAAGTCAATGTCAGAAGTTCGAACGTTTGTTAGACGATTTGTACACAACACGTGCAGCACATGACTCCCAGCGATGGTTTTTTCTGTTTTTTTTTTTTAACCTAGCTCTCCTGGGTTTACGTCTCGGACAAATTAACGGCCGGACTCGAGGCCGGTCTCGCAGCCAATTTTCAAATTCAATGATCAAGGAATATCTCTCAAACTAATGAACTTAACTCGATGATACTTGGTACACGTATTCATTAGGACCTAACGGTAATGTTTTGCTCGGGAAAATTGTTTGAATTTCGCCATCGTTCGTTTTTGCCATAGTTATATGCCAATACGGGCCGAAATTCACAGCAATCAAGTAATTTCTTCCAAACTACTGAGCAGATTCGAACAAAATTCTGAATTTACAGTCCTAACTAAAAATTTTTCGATTGTGCCTTCGTTCGCGAGTTTTTTCTCATTTCACCTTCATTCGTGATTTAAACAGCAATTCGTGCTTAAATTCGCAGTAATCAAGAATTTTTTTCCAAACTACTGAACAGATTATTATTAACTCGCAAACGAAAGCAAAATGGAAAAATTGTCACAAGCTAAACATCACTGTTGAGAGGTTATGTATTTTTATACAAAGTTTCGTTCAAATCTGTTCTGTATTTTGGAAGAAATTTTTTGATCGCCTCGAATTTAAGCGACAAATTACCCGGCGATACGGGCCGAATATAAGGAAGTGTGAAATCAAGAATGACGGTGAAATGAAAAAAACTCGCAAACGAAGGTAAATCGAAAAAAAATTATAATCTTAAAAATCACCGCTTGGTAGTTAGGAATATATATTCAAAATTTTGTTCAAATCTGTTCAATAGTTTGAACAAATTCTTTGATCAATGCGAATTTTGGCCTGTTTCACAATATATGCGCAACTCACGAATGAAGGTGAAATTTAAAAAAATTTACTAGCTAAATATCACCGTTAGGTTCTGATGAATGCGTGTTCCAAGTTTCATAGAGCTGCGTTCATTTGTTTGGGAGATATTTGCTTGATAATTGAATTTGGAGATTGGTCGTGAGACCGGCCACGAGTCTGGCCATAAATTTGCCCGCGACGTCCTTGGCTTCTAGTGCTGAAACAGTTAAAACAGCTGAAAAACATATTGGTTCACTAAATGGGGATCTATTTGTGAAATACACATTTGTGTTTAACCTTCATCTCTTAAAATTTCAGCGTACTAAATTTCAAGAGAGTGGCGTATGTCTGTGGGGGGCGCTAGAAATTCACTAGGGGGCCAAAGGGGGCGCCAGCCTGAAAAAGTTTGGGAACCACTGGTATAGATGCTACATGCTTGTTAGTGATTTCAATCCTGTCTAACCCCATCTGACTATAGGTGTACTGGCTAGCTTAATTATTAATCTAACTTCAATTAATACCAACTTAAACTTGATCATTACAAACAAAGGGCCTGGGAAATTTTCAAAAAATCTGATAAATAAAAGAAAAAAATTAATCTAACAAGAGACAGCTAAACAATTCTATAACAAATCTGAGGTACTACACAATTGAAACAGTTTGTCTACTTTTGATCCTCCCTTTCCTCTATAGTCAGTCACCTGGCAGAGCGCTGTATCTAAGGAAATCTTTTCACCTTGGGTGAAAAAGTTTTTTATAAGTGAACTTCCATTCTTAGAATTCCACACTGGTCTGCATGATACTGTGTGTGAAATGTTCAAAGATCATATGGTATTACAGTATCATATCTCAGTCATGTTAGCACTGAAGAAAAGGCCTGGTGCGCCCTGTCACTAATTCTTGTCCTTTTCATGGAAAGTTATCTTCTTACTTTGAATAATTTTAAAGTATATTGATTAAAGTTGAAATTTCCATAGGCTTGTACTCCATCTTAAGGAAATGGAAACAAATTTCATTTTCTTACATCTCTAGTCAAAATAGTAACTTGCATTTGACACTTCCAGGCAATGAAATAGCTGATCAGGAGGCAAACCATGTGCACAGACACAGAGCAGACAGATCTTTTCATTCAACCTTGTGCTCTGAAGAATTAATATGCCAGTTGAAACAATCATCTGTCATTCAATAGAGGCTCAGGCCATTGTAGGGATAAATGATAATAACTGTAAAGTGGCATTGACAAATCAGAAAATTTCTGTATGCAGCCCTGTGAGTAAGTAGGCAAACAAAGCATCATGGATATCAGCATTATTGCATAGATATTAAACAAATTTAAGCGTGATCAGAAAATTAAAAATGAAATTGTTTCTAAAAAAAATCTTGTTTGCCACAATGGCTTTATTTTGCATAGTGGAAATGCAGATTAGAGACTTTTGTTGACCATCCGTGTGAGTGGATAGGTACTTGTGTGTGAAACATCTACTCTTCCAGCCTTGACAGAATTTTCTGGATCTTGAGTCAATATTTTTGAGCAGTGAATCTCTTTCCTAAAATGTGGAAAGCAATTTGTAGCTACAAAATCATTTGTCAAACCACAATTTTGTTTGTCAAGCCATGCTCACATATTATGCTACATCTCTACTATTACCTTGGGAATGAAGTTGCAACAATAACATTCTTCCTCACTTAAGAGCCAATTTCCTCACTTTAGGGTCAAAGAAACATTGCAGCTATAATACAGTCTGACATAATTGCACCTTCACACTGTAACAAAAATTCAGTTTCACAAAGATAATATGTTCAAGAGGCTATCAATATGGATAATGCAACAAACAGCATTTTCAAATATGGCAATATAATGAAAAACAATCAATTACAATGCACAATTAATAAAAAATGTTTGCTGTGATATGACACCTCAACTATAACAAAATATATAGTTATATGAGAATATTTGATCGAAACAGACTTGAGATTAGCAATATTGTTACCTACTCTCAAGTTCAATAGGTCTTGTGAACACTTGTTTCAGTTTCTTTTTAATTTCTCTTCAATTTAATACAAATCCTATATAAGTATGTTGCCTATGAAAATTTATTCTATGTGAAATTAATTCTAAAATTTACTTGAATCTTGTAATACCATTTACAAAAGTCTCTACTCTATAATCACTATAATAAGCAAACTTAGATTGCTTTTTATGTTGCTCAATATATGTTCAGTTCTTATGTTCTTATCAAACTAATCTCAATAAGAGAACCCACTCAACATTGGAGGAAGCAGTGTAAATAGTTAGTCTGGTAATATAGAAAATATTTATTGTTGGCACTTTATTGGAGGTACAGAATATCCTGGTTGCATTAAAATAGAAACGAGTGATCTGTAAGCTGATAACATGATAGAAATCCAGCTAATTAGGGCCATCATATAAATTTAAAAAATTGAATTTATCATATAAAAATGTAATAATTCTTTGGAGTACCACAAAGAGAAATGTATTTTACTTTGATACTCAACTGATGTTTTTACCACTAAGGTTCTTGTATTTGATTGTGTGCAGCCACAACTTGCCTTGATTACAGATCTAATATTTTATATTGAAAGTTTGTTCATGAAACATACAAAACCTAATGGATATTCTAATGCATGATATGAAAAAGTGTAGTGTTGTGATGCACAAACTGCCTGATGATGCAGTCAAGAGGCAGTCTGGACTGAACCTTCATCAAGTACCTGTTGCTGTGTGCAAAGTTGAGTCTCAAGGTAAGCTGCACATTTAAAGATGCCTCAATTATTTATGATAATGTTTTGAATACTAAATAATATGATGATGGTTCAGCTTTCAGTTACATTAGTGTGAATGTCACTCTGAATTGAGCATACTGCGGATAATTTATAGGCTCCATATAATGGATATATATTTTATAGAGGATATACAAATATCTTTATCATATATTATCTTTAACATTTTATTATGTTCTATATATCTCTCCCAATAATTTTATCATGTAATATAATTCAAATTATTAACAGCCACAGACGCCAGTGGCTCATTTATGCTACCAGATATGGTTGCAGCTAACATCAAGCTTGAGCCTGTGGATAAAGAGGAGGCTTTATCTGTGAAGGATGAACCTGTTGATGTTGATGAATATCAGGTAAAATTGGCCTATTAATTTCCCCCATTGATTTAATTCAATTGCAGTTGAAGAAGTTCCAAAGCTTGATAAGCTGCACTCCTGTAGTGTAAAATATTTAGGCCAAACTATATATTTACATTCAGAAGAGTACAATCATATGTGTAATATTATTCTTGCAATTATCTTACTTGAATATATGAGATGATAATGCATTCTAATATTATTGGGTTATGTTTTAATTTATTGATGAAGTCTCTGTTCATGATTGTTTCATTTGGCCAGCAAACTCCACCTTCCTCATCTGGTGTGCCATGCAAGGAGGAAGCTCAAGTTGAGGCTCGGGACGCCCACCAACGTTCCTCACAGGACGCTGCTGCTGTGTCTGAGGAACAGGTTGGTGGTTTGGTAGTTAGAATAATTTGATCAGTCTAAATTGAAGTGATAATCTGTCAATGTTATATATGGAAAATAGATTATTCCATGTTATTTTGAGTAACTGTTAAATGAAAATGTCTAAAATTGTAGAAATGTGTTAGAAATAGAACTTCAGATAATTATTAATTGGTTAATAATTATTTTTCTTATGCTGATGGTTGTAAATAAATTAGAAATTTTGCCAGTGGTTTATCAGAGATTGCTTGCCTCTTTATCTTTTTCTCAAGTCCCATCATTACTTGGAAATAGTTTTCTGCAATTAAAATTTTATGAAGTATCTATTTTCTTCCTTGGAAGATCCTAGTTATGTTGAAACACTAGAGTTTGTGAAAAAAACTAGAGTTCTATAGTCAAGGAAAAAATCCTACATTTATTCCAACATCTAAAATCTCCATGTATGTATAAAAGATTATATGTCTGAAGTCAACCCATGGAACTTAGCATCTGTACAAAAATTAAGAAATACCTAGGCTTCTGCTGTGGAGATGTTACACAATGCTTGGAACTATTCTGGGTCTGCTTTGTTACCAGATCGAAATCAGCTTTTGATCTGAATCTCTTTTCTGATTATTAAGAGGCATGAGTGTATGGCATGGGTTATCTGGAGCTTGCACAGTATGGACATATAACATTTGATTTATGTGCCTTTCAAGTAAGGTGGCAGCAGCTGTTGCAGGGTTGGATCCACATCAAAATTTTGTTAGTTTTTTTATACGTTATCTTAATCTGACTACCATTCTCACCAGAATCATGTATGAAAACTTGTGTGGTCATCTGAATAATGGCATATATTTCATGGAAGCTGAACTTGCACTGTAGAACTGAATTGTTGAGCCATGGCCATTATATGCAGTACTGGTGCGGCAGAACTGGAGACAAGAGCCAAGGCTTCATAATCATTCTGCTCAGTACTTGCACTACAGAACTTAAGCAGTGAGCCAAGGCTTCATAATGAGTCTGCTTGGTATATACTTGCCATTAAGGACTTTCTATCAAGCCAATTATTACCTGGTACCATGCAGGCCTGATGAGCTTAGAGTGCTGGATGCAGTTCAGTTCAGTTCAGTTCTCTCCGGGCCATAAGGCGCACAAGGCTTGGACGTCACTCCTCCACTGGGTCCGGTTTGCAGCTGCCTGCCGTGCTATGTTCCACGAGTTCCAGCCTGCTCGGTTTCTCTCCTCTTCCACCATTCGCCTCCAAGTTGTTTTTGGGCGTCCTCTCTTCCTCCTTCCTTCAGGTGCCCACCCGAGAGCCACAGCACAGTCGCTTGCTCTGTCCTTCCTCAAAACATGTCCCACCCAGTTCCACCTTCGTCTCCTCACCACATCACTGATTTTCTCCACTTCTGACATATCAAGAACCGACTTGTTTGAGATGTGTTGCTGCCATCGGATCTTGCAAATCTTCTGTAAGCATTTGGTCTGAAAGATATCTAGTTTCCTCTCTTCTCCCTTGGCTAGTTTCCAGGTCTCACATCCGTATAACAAAACTGAAAGAACCAGGCTCTTGAACAGGGAGCAGACTGCTGGATGCAGTCCGCAGGCTAATACTAAGTGTTGCTGTTGTATATCGGCAAATATGAGGATATTATAATTTTGATTATGATTGATAATAATCAGTGAAACATCTTGAAAATCAGCAAAATATATTTTATTACAGTAGTGTAGGTCCACCTTTAGTGGCAATTACAGCCCCTATTCTCCAAGGTATTGATTCATACCTATTTCTAATTACTGATATGTGACAAGCCTGTGAATGAGCACCAACAATTTGGCTTCTTCAAAAGTTGGAATGGCTTGCAGTTTTTATTAGGTTACAGACACAAGAATTTTCTAAAAATATCTATAAATAATAAAATATCAATTAGCAGCAATAATAAACATTAAATCATTGAAATATGACTGTTTTTGTTCATAAGATTTTCAAATATTATAATTTCAAAATGTCGGGTATTTTCCTTATTTTGTCCAACATCTCTGAGTTTTGCTCTATCCGTGACACACCGCATGACTATACACACTATACACCTGCAACACTCTATACACAGCATGACTACCATGTTCACACTATACACCTGCAACACTCAATACACAGCATGACTACCATGTTCACACTATATACTGGCAACACTCAATACACAGCATGACTATACCATGTTCACACTATACACCTGTAACACTCGATACACAGCATAACTATCATGTTCAGACTATACACCTGCAACACTCAATACACAGCATGACTATACCATGTTCACACTATACACCTGTAACACTCGATACACAGCATAACTACCATGTTCAGACTATATACTGGCAACACTCAATACACAGCATGACTATACCATGTTCACACTATACACCTGCAACACTCAATACCCAGCATGACTACCATGTTCACACTATACACCTGCAACACTCAATACACAGTATGACTATATCATGTTCACACTATACACCTGTAACACTCGATACACAGCATGACTACCATGTTCAGACTATACACCTGCAACACTCAATACATAGCATGACTACCATGTTCACACTATACAATTGTAACACTCCATACCTGCCACACCCCATACCAGCCATACCTATGCAAGTAAAAACATAACCAGGCATGTTAAGTTATTGGTATTTGAAAGAAAATTTGGCATGGCCAATAAATACAAATATATAAGGATATAATAACTGTGAAGTTAAGTCTAATATATCAACGAAGCAACATGCAATAGCATTGTTAGTGAGCATAGGTGGGTGATGGCTCACAATGTCATTTGTGAGCTGTGAAATGCAAAACTAACACCAAGAATTAAAAAACAAGACTTGTTGACAGGCAATGGTTGTAACTTGTCATGCAAAGACAGTAAATCGATTATCGTACTAAAACTTTGGAATGCACAATAATAGAAGAAATTAGTAACTGATGATTTCATTTAGATGTTTAGAAACAGGTGAATGCATAGAAACAGTTGATGCAAAACTGTATTGGTTAAGCACTTGAGCAATTAATTTTGAAAGTTATTTCAAAGCAATGATGCTCGGAGAATTTAAAAAGCAATACAAGAACCATGTAACCGTTTATTCAAAGAAGTTTTGTACTCTATCTGAACTGATCTTAATGATATTTGGTCGTGATCAAATATCATGTGAACAATGAATGAAGCTGCTGGAGGTAAAAAAACTGATATGGACCTGAAAAGTTGCCAGGAAGAGCTTCAGTCACGAAATAGTATTGTGAAATGAAGCTTGCCAAATACTGAATATCCTGAGGACACATTACTCTATAGCATATTTTTTGACAGTGTTGTAACTTCTTCATCATGTTTCTTCATAAGGATATTGAACAGAAAAATGCATTAAGCATGGAAATTCTACTTCCTCTATTGTTGTAAAAATAAATGCCAGTTAAATTTTTTTCTAATTCTCAGTTTGTTACAATACAGCTTAAATGGAGTGCAACATGTGTCTCAAATTAGTTTTCCTAATGCTTGAATATATAGTTGACCAAAAATGAGATATGAGTGCTTCTGAAACTTATTTCGTGATTCAAAAAAATAAAAATCTAATGAATTGATCACCACTTTGAATGAGCTAATCAGGGGACTGCAGTTGTCGATCTCACTCATTGTAACCACAATTGTGGGTTTATGCTGAATAATTCTGAGATTTTAATTCATGAAAATTTTGTTGCCACTCAGTGCACGGGAAGAGGACAGCATGCACCTGCAGGAGCTCCAGAAGAGGGAGGTGGCTGGAGCGGTAGCTCTGAAGCATCTAGCTCGAAGCTGCCTGCCAAGAGGTCAATGTATTCTCTTGAAGACGTATCTGGCACACAAATGCGGCAAAATCTTATGGATGAGCATTCATCCTTGAAATGTGAAATTAATTTTAATAACAGTCAACATAAACATATTTGGCATAGGCATCCTGGGAAACTCTTTCACTGTTGGGCATGCATTTATTCTTGTGTATCTGAAAGCATGCTTAAGAGGCATGTTCTTTTGAAGCATAGAACTAATAAACCTCTAAGCTGTTCAGAATGTGAATACTATTGTGCACTGAAAAGCCATCTGGACACCTCAAAGAGCAAGAGTGATAACATAGAGGAGATATGGGAGCAGCAGAGAAATGCCTACACAAAGGCGGCAGAGGAGGTGCTTGAGTACAAGAAAGGGGTGAACAAACCATGGACCAGCAGCAATACCTGGAGGCTGATTGATGAGAGAAGAACTGCCAAGACACTGGTTGAAAGTACCCGATCAGAAAGAATCAAAAACAAAATGAGAGAAGAGTACAGAGAAAAGGACAGGGAAGTGCAGAGGAGCATGAGAGAAGACAAAAGAAGGTGGATGTTGGAAGAAGCAGAGAGAGGAGAAAACGGATGGCAAAAAGAATTGTACAGTATCGTGAAGCGGCTGACAGGACAGAGTACCATCACCAGACCAACTGTTGCAGTAAAGAGTGTTCATGGGGAGCTGCTGAAGAGCAAGGAGGCCAGAATGGCGAGACAGAAGGAACATTTCCAGGAATTTCTCAACAGAGAAGCACCAGAGGTACCACCACAGGAGAAAGGGGAGGAAGGACAGGAGCTAAAATCCCAGTTGAGGCACCAGATGTAGAGGGAATAAGGGCTGCACTGAAGACTATCAGGAATGGAGGTGACCCTTGGGCAGACCAAATTTCAGCCGAATTGCTTAAAGCTTGCAATGTGAGTATTCTTGTGCTACTAAAAGTAATCTGAAGAGACTTGTATTACAAAAACATTCTTTGGAGAGTCCATTTCTGTGTTCCAATTGTAAATATTCATGTGTCACTAGAGGTTGTCTAAAAATACATGAATCATACAAGCATTCACTGGAAAAACCTTTTTGCTGCTTGTAGTGGAAATATACTTGTGTCATGAAAAGAAACCTTACTCAACACATTCAGACCAAACATTCCAGAGAAAACTTCATTTCTGAAAGTTTGATGGTACCTCACTAAGTAAAGATGATTTGCTGAGAATTATTTGTTGTTTAATAGACCTAAATACACCATGACTTGTTACTAAGTTGTCAGAACTGCTGCACGCATTTCTAAGTGTGTTTCTAAGAGTGTTACATTCTGATCACTCTTGAGGTATAAGATAAGGTAGTTATAGGAACACTGATGTAAAATGAGGTTCTGGACAAACTTCCCTCAGGGGGTTTTCTGACATGTATCTTTGCTTATCAGTAATGCCTATGGGATTTTGCGTTCCTGGTAGACTTGTTCCTGAGTGCTTCACCGCAGAGCATGCAGTGTCTGACTGGGTCTCAGTTGTGGGGTAAAGTTTGTTATGTACCTAGGTAGGATTACCTTCATTTCTCACCTCTGTCCCTCTTGTGTGGGTGGCCAACATCTTGTGTAAGCGACCTCTTGTTCAAGTGTCATTGTTTATGTTGCTTTTCAACTGTCCTTTGTCCTTTGAGATGCCACCACTGCTTCTTTCATGCCAGCAAGCTGCTGGACATCTGAGACCTCCTGCCCTTCATGGGTTATGATTAATTTGAGACTTTAAATAATTGAAACCTACTGCCTTGCTTGCAACGTTACCTTTTGACTTCCGGTGCAAAATAGCTTGATAGTTGAAGCACTAGCAGGCCATTCTATTACTTATTTACTATGGATTAACTGTCATGTTCACTGCATGGCTAACAGTCTGCTAGAGAGCTCACGCTAAGTGTACCACAAATATTCTGTTGATTTATATGGATATAATACATCTGAATCCTTAATGTTGAACAAGGTTCACTTATGATCAAAACAGGCATTTAAAATTTATAAACACCCCTTAGATTTGTGCTATGGATAAATTGAGCTAACTCAACAAGTAGCATGAACCTCTATTGTCACTAATGTCACTGCAAGTTGCATGAACTGTAGAACTGTATTTTAACTATTGCAAGCCAGAGCTTTCATATCAGATGGCTATCGCTTCAGACGTATCATAATGAATTTAATATTGTTAGAATAAGTAGTTCTCTAGTGACTCGAATTGATATCTTGCTCTGTCTTTTCTCATGAATGTCATAATAATTTAATTAGACCTTCAAACTCATGATCATCAACCTTAGTATCTGTATTTAACTTTATTATCTTGAACTTGCTTACTTAGTTTAGAATTAATCAATTTCTTTGTTATATAATTATAAAAATATTTAGTCAGTAAATTTTGCCAATTCTCAAGCATGAATAACACTCGTGTAATTTTTGAATAATTAAAATCCAGTAAATGACCAAGATACTTTCATGTTTGGATCATACTGTCTGATATTGTGAACTTTGTTTAGAGTGCCCAGTGGGTAACCATTAGCCAGTCGTGCTTTGGCTTAGCACCATTTTCTGTTTGCCGCTGCAGAGTTAACAGCTAAGGGGGAAGCTACCAAGTCAACCTTTGTAATTGAAGTCAGATAATCGAGATCTAATATTGCCAACATTATAACTGAATCAACATTTGTATCACCTGTATTCTTTTGATATTGTTATCATATTTCTGTTCATGTTGTGTCTGTATTCGAAGGGCTACACCTATATGTACAGGTGTTGGTTGGCGCCATTATTCTTTGATCCATCAATAAACCTTCTGAACCTTCATATTCTTTACTCCTACAAATTTACACTAACTAATAAGGGAAGGGGGATGGAAGTTGTAAAATTCAAAATCTTCAACCACCATAAGAAAAACCACTTCTTCAGTGCAAATTGATAAGTCTTGATTTCTTTTAAATTAATCAGCTCAATAGATTTTTTTGTCAATGTAAAGATAGGTAAAACAGGATCAAGTACATGTTATTCTTATTTTTTGACTCTTAAACCAAACCCCGTCCTATTCAAGACATTTCTATTTGGTGGGAGATTGATGATAATGTCAAAATTTGTCTTTTAAAATATACCAGGGTTTGGAAACTTATGAATGTTTGGCAATAGAATGACTCACTAGAAAACATGACATTGGAAGACTAGTCAATGCAGTGCCAGCCACTCAAATGCTTTTCTCTAGAATGCTAATTTTATAGTTGATAAAACAACACCCTGGAATGCTATACTCACTGAAATGGCAGTCAATAACAAGCACGATACTAAATTGTTTATCACTATAGCCCCTAAAATGTCAGCCACCATGATGCATGGCAATTTATTGTCTGTAACTTGGATTCTTTTCTTCACAATGCTGGCAATGTGCATGCAATTCACAATGTTGACGCCATGAAACTAATGATCACTAAGATACTGGCCACCAGAATTCTTGCCAACCAAATACTGGGTAATATGGGTGGCAGGGTGACTCGGTGGCACAACTTCAGGCAGGGTGGCCCAGTTGTTGAATTTCAAGTACAAAAATTAGAGCAGAGAGATGCTGGTTTGATCCTAGTTCTGTGCACCAGTTTCTGGTCAGAACTGGAGGAGGAGACCCGGCGATTATGCAGAGCAAAATTGTAGCCGTGAGTTGCTTGTTTGAGACCTGCAGCAAGCAGTGAATGTTCTGCATTGTTGAGAATTGGTGACGGGCCTGCTGTCTAATAAACGCTTGAACCGCTATCCATCTATCCATCTAATAACAAAATTTATTTTAAGTCACCGTCTCAATGCTGGCCTTCTGAATGCTCATTCTCATCATATTAGTTACTGGATTGCTGTTCACCAAAATGCTTGATGACACATATTAAACCTGGGATTCTGTGAGATGATGAATGATTTTAGAAATATCAAGTCTAATATGTTTGGAATGAATGGATAACAAATTTTTTGGAATATATCCACTTGTAGAATATATGACATTGTAGGACCCCTTAAACAATTATATTCATGACAAATCACTGATTTGAGCTGATATTGGCATAATTGAATCCATTCTAAAATATTTTTCACAAATTTTTATTGAAGAAATATGTAATAAGTTACTTAAATCTAATGAAAACATATTTTTATTTTATTTATAATTCTCTAGAGAAAATTAAAAAAATATTTATGCGTGGTAAATAAATTGAAAATAATGGTGTTCATTAACCACTCAATAAAACTTTGAATTAATTGGATACTAACCAATATAATGTACCGGCTGAATATGGCAAATAATTTCATCAAATTAAGCGTAATTAAAAAATGTGCACATTTTCACTCATGTGTATAACTACTGAGCACACATCTGACTTGAAACTTGGACCGTCTGAATAGTTGGTCAAACTTGACAGCTTGTGATGTGCTCTTAACCAGCATCATTAAATCTACAAAAGCACCTAGTTTGTATCCATATAAAAATGTCATTCATTTGTTCCTCTATGGAATCTGTCATCCGCTGCTGTAAAACTATGCTTAACCAACCATCGTCTGAGACATTACTGATAAATAATTGCTTTATGCCAGAGGAAACCAATGATTGAATGATTAATGACTAATACAGACTTGAGAATATGAAATGCTTTTTATGTTGCTACTGAAGCGAGTTCTAATGGATATTCTAATGCATGATATGAAAAAGTGCTGTGTAGTGATGCACAAACTACCTGACGATGCAGTCAAGAGGGGCTTGTGGTCAGGATTGAACCTTTCTCAAGTACCTGTTGCTGTTTGCAAAGTTGAGTCTCAAGTTAAGCTGTGCATTTAGAAGTTCATTAATTACCTAAAATTATATTCTGAAAGTTAAAATATGCCATTGTTGTCAAATAGGAGCTGTAAAGTACATAATCATAACTATATCACTCTGAATTTTCAGGATGCAGTGGATCATTTGTAAGCTCCACATACTTCTGTTACATATTTCATTAGAGCTGTGGTGGTGCAGTGATGAGAGACTCATTCTCTCGCACCCAGCTCCCAGGGTCGAATCCCAATGAGGACAAGTTCTTCCAGGAAGCTCAGCTCATGGTCAACTCAGCCATTCATCCAACTCTGGTTGATAAATGAGTGCCTGGCTTGTCCAGGGTGTTGTGTAATGCAAAAATGGTTCTGGTGGGTCAGCAAGCCAGTGATGGTCACAGATCTGTCACCACCCTCCCCAGTCACCACCCTCCCCAGTCACCACTACCAGGATGGACAATTACAACAACACAACAACATATTTCATTAGAAAGATATTTCTTTTACATTCATTTTCATGTTAATTCATATTACTTCTAGCCACTGAGGCTGGCAGCTCATCTCTACTTCCAAAAATGGAGGCAGTTAAAGTCAAGCTTGAGCCTGCATGTGAAGAGGAGGACATATCTGTGAATGATGAACCCAATGATATAGATGAAAATCAGGTAAAAACATAACTTGTAACTTTTCATCCTTAATCTGTTGAAACTGGCCAGTAATATTTTATGTAACATATTCCTTTCAAGTTCAGTTTAAGAAGTACCACAGCTTGAAAAATTTTGTTCAGGTTTTGGGTGAATTGCTTATGATATAACTCGATTGTATAGAATTGGTTTAAAAGTATTTTGCCTAACTGTATGTAACCATCATACATAATAATATAATTTTATTTGTAATATTGTTTTTACAATTATATTACATGTATGAGATAGAGCTGCTAACTAATATTATTCAGTATTTGTAACAATTGCAGTCCTTTTTCATGACTTTTTTTTTGCCAGCAACTCCACCTTCCTCATCTTGTGTGCCATGCAAGGAGGAAGCTCAAGTTGAGGCTCGGGACGCCCACCGACGTTCCTCACAGGACGCTGCTGCTGTGCCTGAGGAACAGGTTGGTGGTGTGAAGGTTTTAGCTTAATTGGCTAATAGTGTGGACCAGAAAACAAATTTTATTGAAATTTTCTTTCCTACAATGATGTATTTATGTGGATACCCTCCAAATAAGTCTCCTTCAAAAGATTTTAAATGAAAATCATTATAGAGTTGTTACAAAGATGCTAAATTTCAAAATGTGAATTTTAGTGTAATTTTGACCTTAATTTTTCATTTATGTACCCTAACCTAGATAAGCTAGGTGATATGGCTGAATAAATATCTATTATTCAATTGTAAATTAATAAAGAAGATTGGTCACAAGTTGATTGACTCCAAGATTTTTTTAGTATGCAGATCTGCTTGTGTGGCCATGACCTGACTTTAACTTCGCACTACATGACAGAAGAAAGTTGCATCAGTTGTGCTTCTGAAATATATCCATCTGGTTTGATGGGCCCTGAATAATTTTAAAAGAATAATTTTTGGTAAGAAATGAAGAGTTTCTCTCATTATTTCATGACATCTGAACTTGTGTTGTACAACAGAAGCTATGAGCTAAAATCACATTACCATTCTGCTCAGTAACTGCACGGCAAAATGGAAGCATTGAGCTAAAGCCACCTAACCAGTTGTATCATTCCTCATGCTTCAGAACTGAAGAGCCATATTTTTTTCATGCTTCAGAACTGAAGCAGTGAGCCAAGGCCACATAATCAGTCTACTCAGCACTTTCAAGTCTGAACTTTATATCAGCAATAATTGGAACTTTTTACAAAACCATTGCCTGATGTCATGCAGGCCTGACGAGCTTGTAGGTCTGAATATGGCTCATGGGCTGATGTTAAGTGTTGTTGTGTTCCATTATATAAAGGTTTATGACTTATATGATAAATGTCATGCTCTACTCCTGCCTCACACTACACCTACCATACTCAATAGCTGTCATGCAGCATATTTGTCACCCCCTATACCTGCCACCTCTTACACCTGCCATGTCCTATACTTGCCACACGTAACTGTCACACCCCAAACCCTCTATATATGCCACACCCAATACCTGTCGCATCCCATACCTGCCACACCTTATACCTGCATCACCCTATACCTGCATCACCCTATACCTGCATCACCCTATACCTGTATCACCCTATACCTGCATCACCCTATACCTGCATCACCCTATACCTGCATCACCCTATACCTGCATCACCCTATACCTGCATCACCCTATACCTGCATCACCCTATACCTGCATCACCCTATACCTGCATCACCCTATACCTGCATCACCCTATACCTGCATCATCCTATTCCTGCATCACCCTATACCCTTGACACCCTATACCCTCAACACCTATACCCTCAACACCTATACCCTCAACACCCTACACCCTCGACGCCCTATGCTTGCGACACCCTACACCCTCGACACCCTATACCCTCAACACTCTATGCCCTCGACACCCTACACCCTCGACACCCTACACCCTCAACACCCTACACCCTCAACACCCTACACCCTCAACACCCTACACCCTCAACACCCTACACCCTCAACACACTACCGTTGACACCTATACCCTTGATGCCCTATACTCTTGATGCCCTATACCCTCGATGCCCTATACCCTCAACACACTATACCTTAACACCCTATATCCTCAATACCCTACACTAGCAGTTCCTGTGTTAACTGAGGGTACATCAACTTATCATTCCATTTAACTTAGGAGTGGCAACTGAACTGCTGAACTACTGTTAGTGCCAGTAAAAGTATGACCATATATGTTAAGTCTATTTGCACATTAAAAGAACATGTGATGAAGCCAATTAGTACAAATATGTAATGCCCAGATACTTGGAAAAAATACCAAACATCAAGAAGCATTGGTTTCTCCTTTTAATTAGAGGAGGTATCTTTAACAATTTTTGGCCTTCACGAGTTCTCAATGTTGAATTGTCACTGAAATGATGGTTTTGCTGCAGCTCTAGGTACCGGCTCTGATGGTTCAGGTTCATTTCCAAACCAAAAACATGTGATGAAATGATTTATTTTGCGTCATTCCTTCAATTTCCTTTACTAAGTCAATGATAATGCTGCCAATTTTTGGTACTTTGTGTAAAATTGAGCTAATACATCAGTATGTTGCTAAATACATTTTCCTTGGCTTTATGATATTCTTACTGCTCACGATCCCCCAAATGGGGATTGGCATAAAGTACATATTTTTAGCTTTACTAACAGTATATATGAGACTTACCTTAGTATTTTTGGTAGAATATAGACTATTCTACCATCTACCATGATATAATGAATCAGAAATGTTGTTAAAGGGGAAAAATTTACATGTCAAAAATTGATAACTCTGTTACATCAAGAATAAGGTCATGTCTTTCAGAAAATTTCATATATACGATTTTTTACATAAAAAAATCCACGTTTAACTGATCTCAATTGATGTCTATAACCTATATGGATACTTTATTGAAGGATAACATGTTTCTGGTCAATAGTTCAGGAATGATGTGCACAAAAACAAACGATCCGCAATGGGGGACCATGGGCGCTAATGGGTTAAAAGCTTCAAAATGTTAATTCAATGCTGTGAAAAATATCTGTAATACAGGTATAACTAAATGGATTTTATATCCCCTATAGACCAGGAATTACCTATTTCAGGAATTATATATAGTCAAATGGGGTAAGACAGGATTGCAGCCTTCATGGGGTAAGAAAGGACCAGCCCATGGCGTGCATTCTAATTGCACTGAATTCAATTTGACAAACGAATATGTTAGAACAATCATTGCCTGTCATTTCAGTGTTTGTGGCAACCCTCTGCAAATAATGAATTTATGGCTAATTTTTAAAGAAAACCTTTATAAAGAAGGGTCACAAAATAGTTAACCCTGTTTGGGAAATAAGCTCTGTTTGATGACAAAAAATTTTTTGGCCAGGTTTGTGGATGTAGGCAGGTAACCTCAAGTAATAGGCAACTTTTTAGACATACTAGGCATTCCTACCTGCTACCATCACTGCCTGACATGTATTATAAAATGGGGTAAAAAAGGACCGGACATGGGGTAAGACGGGACCACTAAATGATCCTGTTTCATCCCACAAGTGGTCCTATCTTACCCCACAAATGGTCCTGTCTTACCCCACAAGTGGTCCTCTATTACCCTAAAGTTTATCAAAAATAGTTTTTAAATGAATATATTATTGTGTAGTACATGGTGTATTTTGGTCAAAATTTTTATCTTTTGCTCAAACTTCCTTATAAATTGTTAGCTTTTTCAATTAGAGAAATTTAGTGCACTATTTCAAATTGCATCAAAGGGATATAGAAAATAGGGATGTCTATTCCCATTAGTAAGCTGCAGAACTATGTGCAAGATTGGCTTAAGGAGAAATCACTGTGTGAAACATGAAAAATAATTATGATCACAACTCTGTGAGAGGGCATGAGCTATGTTTGAAGATGTGCACCACAAATGCAGTTAGCAAGAAAACACATGATGTCTGATACTTAAGTTATTATCCATTGGTTGTATTACCAATTTGATAAATTTTTCAGACAATGACACTAATGGAATATACATGAAGCATTTAGCAGTGCTCTACAATGAACCAAAGCCAACCCAATATTACTATGCTTAATAAAGTTTTCTTGCAACAAAAGCTTCAATGTGACTGATATTAGAGTTGACTTCCCACAACACAAAACAGTAACAAGTGGTTGTTTAATCAAATAATGTATTTCTAGATGGATAATATTGAATATGAGATTTGTACTTTTATTAAAAACCTTGTAACATAGGAATTACCAGTTGGTCCTTTCTTTCTTACCCCAATGGGGTAAGATGGGACCAGCTCACTTTTTTCAATCTGTACAGAAAACTATGTTAGATGCAAAATGTCTGAGTTATAACTTAGAAGCCCATTGCATATCTACACCTTGTGATAGGTTTAGGGTTTTTTAGTTATTCATGGTATAGATGCTACAGGCTTGTTAGTGATTTCGGTCCTGTCTTACCCCATCTGACTATATTGGAATTGTTTCATGTCATCACTTTGCAATTGATCATCTCTTTGATTAAGATATCGTTTTAATTGTAATTTCAGCAGAATAAAAAATGTTCTAGTGATGCAGGGAAGATGTTGACCATTTCACTCAACTGCAGATTGATAAAATGGTTTGTAATCATGAATCAGTAAAGAAATTGTAGAGCTTGAATGAAATGAACTTTAATGGACATTATCATCCATTATTATTCCTGCTGCAAGGCAGCATTGCTGTTACATGACCACATTACTTACTTCATGTTTGCATGCAGTTCTTCAACTTCATGTATGTTTCTGCATGCAGTTTTTCCGGCAAAATTTTGGATATTGCTGTTTACCAGTTGGATTTTCAACTGGCAACAAAGAAAATCAGGTTCAAAATTTGCCACTTGTTTCCGTATGACAACCAGCCTTATAAAGAAGCTATTGCAATTACATTATATTCCTAAATTTCCCTTTATCAGATTAAGGCTTTGATTTTTGGGTGTAATACAAAATTTTAAGCCATCTTGAAGAAAGTATTCATGATGCGAGTGAAGGGTATGAAATGCATGTTGCAAAAGGCACTTCATTTCCTTCATTTTGTATGGGAGTGGCACTTTATGTTTAGATTCAATTAATATGAGCAATAATCTGAAATGTAATAAGTTGTCTCTAGTAATCAAATGATATTTATTAAAATATTATAATGTAATTATTTTCAACTTTTTTCATGGAATACATGGCATGAAATAGGCTACAAAGTTCGCCAAATTAACCACTTCATTTGGCATACGATTTTGATGGATAAACCCAATACTCAAAAAGCATCTATTCTGGCTTTGCATTTTCACAGTTAGTTGCATGTTCAATTTTTCACAATTTACAAAACAGTTTCTAAAATATCAAATGTGCTACCAGTTCTTAAAGGCTACAAAGCAATAAAAAAGGTGCAAGAATATATAATTTGTGTTCTTTATTTGGGCTCTGGTAACAAATGCTGCATTGGAACAGAGCTGCATCCACTGAATTGATATTGAGAAAATTGCAAGTAATTAGTACTTTTACTTTTTTATGATTAGATATTAGATTAGATAGATATTAGATATGATTAGTATTAGATTCCATGACCAATTTACTAATAAAAATATATTTATTAATACTTATAGTGTTCCTAAACTCATACAGGACTCTTCCACAGAAACACTATATAAACCTATGGGTAGTGCTACAATTTTTTCTTTTGAATTGCTTGCAGTTACAATTTTAGCTTGGTTAATGTTTTGAAATTTTGTTATCATATAAGGGGCTCCAATTTAATTTTGACTCATAAATATTATTGTTCAAATATAATGAATATTACTATGAGTGAAAAAGAAGACTGCAGTGATGTGAATCACAAACTCCCCGATGATGCAGTTAAGAGAGGCCTGTGGTCTGGGCTGAGCCTCATGCAGATACCTTCTGGTGCTTGCAAAGTTGAGTCTGATGGTAAGCATCATGCTCAAGGCAGCACCAATCAGCTTTGTTGCCTAAAACAATATGCCTTGCATTATTGCAAATTGTAGTTGTATTTTATATTACCAATATATTGTGTTTATATTGTATATGGCTCCAAATTATGAAATGACTTTGAATTAAAGGTCAACTCTCATATCTGCATTGATGTCTAGCAGTAGTTTTTATTGCCTTGTTAATTCCATTGAATTTAATCCTGCCACAGAGGCCAGCAGTTCATCTCAACTCCCAGAAATGATGGCAGGCTACCTAAAGAAGGAGCCTGTAGATGAGGCAGAGGACATAACTGTGAAGGATGAACCTATTGATATTGATGAAAATCAGGTAAAAATGTTCCTCAAATATTTAGGTATTGATGTGTTAAAATTTGCACCTCAACATTAATTGAAGTCCAGTTAATTCAAACTTCTCTAAAATAATGTTCACAGCTCAAGAAATTATGCTCCCATGTGCTTGTGAGATTTGCTATTGAGAAGTTTGCTGTTATTTTGCTTGTTGAATTAGTACATGCCAATATTGTGCAAAACTGTTCATAATAATTATAAATGGTTACATAGAATTGCAAAGTTTTTAATTGATAATTTTTCCATTTGATTGGTTTTATGTGAAACAATATCTATGGCAAAGTTCTACTTCCATGCATGTGATGAATGTTCTTTGGTACAATTTTTCCTCATACAAATTCGTTAATGGAGTCTCTCTTCATGACCTGGGGCCAGATTATCAAAACTTTGTATATTTTTATACCTGCACACAAAAAGATATGAGTTGCACAAGTACACCCTAATTTTGTCATTATCAAAACTTAGTATTATGCAAGACTTACCTGAAAAGCTATTATCAAAAGCATCTTCCTAACTGACCAATTGGAGGCTTTCAATTTCTTTATATTCTGAGCTTTGGAGCCTTCTCTGTTAAACATTTTTAGCTTTTTTAAAGAATCCTAGAGGTTTTTACTCTAGAAAGTTTATGACAAATGCCGTTTCAAGATATCAAAACAAGTATTTGATGATTAATATAATAAAATGAACAATGAGAGTAAAATTGTTGTGAATTCGTCATATTTCAGTGTTTTTAGTCCACCAATAAACTCATTTTATGTAAAAATGTACCAAGAGTACATTGTACCAATGTACACTAGTAAAACCTAGACATTAGTAACTAAATGATTACCAATTGCTTCACCCATTCAAAAGTTGTATGTAACTACACTTCTGACACCTCCGAGCACGTGTAAAGTTACACACAACTTCATGCATGTAGCTTCCCACACAAATGTTTTAATAATAACACTGCTAGAGTTGCACCTTCATAGCAGTACTTGTGCAACAGTTTAGTTGCTTCATGTACTTAGCGTTGTTTTGACAATCCAGCCCCTGTTCCAAAGTTTAAATCCAATTGTTAAGAAATAACTAAATGACAATCCCATAACTATAATTCATCCTTGTATAATACAAGCCTCTTTAAAACCCTATGTAAATTTGAGTCTTAAAAACCCCACCCATCATAAATTTTTTAAATTAGTACTAGGTCCCCTAAATTGCTCTACAGTCATTAAGGACCTATGACAATGACAATGATACTAAGATACACTGTGCGTTTTCAGAGTAAAACTTCAGGTTTGATATAATTTTCTGTCTAAATTAACCTAAATTAGTCATTAGTTAAAGCCTACAGTCAAGTGTGTGAAATTAAGGCAGCCAAGTCCATATAATTTTGAATGTCAGTTGATGTTTTAGTTCCTTGATTACACTCGCATCTTAAAATACTTGACAAAAAATTTAAGGCTGGCAAAGATAAAAAGAAGATCAAACCCTCTATGCATGTATATTTTGTCAAGTCATAATGCACTAAGAGAATTTTGTCCAAGTATAATAGGTTTTTAACAGCACTGAGGTTTTTTAATGTTTCATTTTTAAATTACCTATGTTTTTTTTACATAATTTACCTTCCTAATTGAAATTACTAGCAGTAAAAGCCTAGCAATTTTTGGGCATATACATAGCAGAAACATCAAGTTCTGGTAAAAATTTCAAAGTCCTATTCTTCACAAAATTAAGAAGAAAAAACTGGAAATTGGGTTTTTGCCCCCTTGCACTACATATGCTAATAATGATAACATTCCATATAAATTATCTTATTTATGAGAATCATTTTGAATTATTTCAAATTCATCTTCATTTTGAATTATTTCAAATGTGTTACGTGACTGATGTGTTACGTGACTGATGTGTTATGTGACTGATGTGTTACATGACTGATGTGTTAACATGACTGATGTGTTACATGACTGATGTGTTAACATGACTGATGTGTTATGTGACTGATGTGTTACGTGACTGATGTGTTAACATGACTGATGTGTTACTTGACTGATGTGTGATGTGACTGATGTGTTACGTGACTTATGTGTTACTTGACTGATGTGTTACGTGACTGATGTGTTAACATGACTGATGTGTTACTTGACTGATGTGTGATGTGACTGATGTGTTACGTGAATGATGTGTTACTTGACTGATGTATTATGTGACTGATGTGTTATGCAACTAATGTATTATGCAACTGATGTCTCCAACTGTTGTAGCTGGATTGTTCACTCAAGCCCAGCAGCAATGGGTGTGTTGACCAGCAAGCTCCGCCTCCCCCATCTGGGGTGCTGTGCAAGACGGAAGCTCAAATTGAGGCTCGAGCTCACCAACCCGCCTCACTCATCTCCACTGTGCCTAGAATTGTGGTGGGTGGTTTTGTGATGGAATGATCGAGAATTTAAATTTTTTCTTCATGGATTATGCAAGAGTGTACAATTTTTGGTAGTATTAGTGCTATGTCCATATCAAGGAAATAAATTTCTACTAGTTGCAATGTCCTTATTAAAAAATATTTGTCAATAAACTTCATGATTTATTGACAAATCTTTTTGTCAATAAATCATGACAATATGTTCAATAAACTCCTTCAATTATTCAGGATTATAAGCTCATAACCAATTTACTAGTCTAATATTTTTATTTTTTCCAAGGATCTAATTGAATAAAAAATGATAAGTTATGATATTCTCAAGATGTTATACTGCAACAACTGTTGACACAATAATGAAAAAAACTGAAAGCAATCAAATTTTTTTCAATATTCATCATCTTCATCAGATTTGATAATATTCATCATATTACCCTAAACTGATATTCTTGGACTCCAATTTATCTGATGTTTATAACATATTATGGTTACTGTTCTATACATCTCCCATCCTGGAGATTATGGTGGGCTTGTTATGGGCTTACAGCTTCCTAGAGCTTAGGGTTCTGAGCCTTCTCTTAAATAAGCTAGATTTTAGGGCTATATGATACTGGTGATTTTACATTGAAATAATTTTCCATTTTTTATTCTCTTCCTACATTTATTTCCTAATAACTAGAAGTTGACCATTTTTTACCAAATAAATGATTATTAATTGAACTAAATTTGCAGTGAAGTTAAACTTGTTTCAATAATCATGGTAGCTCAGATTTTTTGTTTTCAAAAAGGCTGGTTTACTGGCTTTAACATTTTAACAGGGCAGAGCTACTAAAGCAAAGCTAGGAGACTGAAACGTAAAATAAGATCAATATGCATTCATTGTTGAGGCTGATGCTGGCATCCTAGGAAATTAGAGTAATACAGAAAATAGTTTCTTTAATTAAAAAATAATGACTTGTTTAAGGGGATAAACTTTGAATGATGAAATCCAAATGGATTAACCAGAACGAAGTAGGGCGCCAGATTAAATATTTTACAATGAAATATCCATATACTAGCAATACAAGATTAAGATTAAGGTATCAGATTATTCAGAAGAAAATATATGAACACAATTTGCACCTGGTGATTAACATAGCACTCAAATAAGATTTGTGATAAATGTTCTGCACAAAGAACAAATCAATTAAATCATCAACATCCAAGTTTAAACCATCAGATCATAATTTTTTTTATTGTGACTTGAGATCTGCATGGCTGTGGCCATCAAAAGAAGGAGCTTGACCTTTGAGAAAGGCTTAGATGTTTAATAAATGACTTAAGTGTGGTGAGACTTCTGTGAAAAAAAATGAATTTTTTATCAATTTGTCTGGGATTCAAACTCTGTTTATTGGAAATTTGTATTCACTTCTGATCCTCCTGATCTTTAATATACTAGGCCCAATGCTGCTTGTTCTACTGTATATGTCAGCATTTGGACTGAGAAGATGACTTATGCAATGGCACTCCATATATTGAGTCTGAGCAGGAAATTGCTTGACATTAGGAATATGAGTAATGGAATATTAGAATGCTTTGCTCAATTTAATTTGACCTCCTTTGAAGGTGAGATTTTAGTGAATGGCAAAGTAAAATCTCGTGAATGCCAAAGTGAAGTGAGATATTTAAGTGAATGGCAAAGTGAAATCTAGTGAAGAATGGCAAATAAATTTTCTCATTAAGAATAGCAACAAAATTGTGATATGACTGCCTAATGGCATCACATCTGCCTAGTGCCCAGCGCCATAGTAATGTCTCCTAATTTGGAAATCTGGTCTCCAACATTCATTCAGTTTTGCCTGTGTAAAAATCCTGCCCCCTATGGAATTACATTAAAATATAAAATTATGTCAAAATAAAAAATGAAGGTGGATATTAATGTTATTTATCTAAGAATGGTTAGGGGGGCATGTTGGACTGCTTACGATTCAGAGTATGAAATGCAAGTGATCACATTGCTTTACCTAATCAAAAATTAATAATTGTGAGGAAAAACATTGACTCACAAGACAGGAATGAACCTGGAAATGATTATTCCATAGTTTAGTTCTCACAAAAGTTTTACTTCTGAGCATATGACTTAGGGCATCTGATTAAATTTTAGAGCACAGATTCCAACAGCATTCTCCATTCAAGTATCAGCAGTTTATGGCTAAATGTTTTTAGGAAAGGGAGGCAATAAGTTAGCAATCACCAGTGGCTAAGAATAATTTAGTGCTTATCTTTTATAGCACAAAAAATCAGCTTCTTAAATCAAAGAGAAACTTCTAGGACAAATCTCGAGCAGGGAACTCTAATTGAGCAATTTTTCATCGCTGGCTTTGGTCTGATTTCATTAGTAAAAACTGGCTTCTTAACACTTCACAACGTAAATAATATTCATCCCATGAGATATGCCTTACTCATATTTGGTTGAGGCTCAGTAATGGCACTAAAACTAAATGTGATTACTGTATTGTATAGAGATTTTGTTTAGAAAGTCATATTGTATCAATCTGCTCATATCACAGCAAGGTTATGGAAGTTGTAACTTTATGTTCTGAATTTAAAGATACATTTAATGCAATAAATAATAAATTAGTAAAATATCAGGAAGTGTTATCAACAACAACACTGGATAGGGGGGAAAATGCTGCTGAATCATTCAACAACTTTAATGGCGATCATATTGATACTATAGTCAGCCATCGTAGAATAGTCTCCATCTTTCTTCCACACACTTGGGAAACCTCAACACCTGTGCTTACTCTTTATCATAAACATTTTAAATTATGCGACATTCCTTCACCTCAGCATTTATCGAGCTCAAGCAATGAAGGCACACCATCCCCGGGGGCGACACCATCGCACATACCCAAGGAGACGCAGGGTGAGTTGAATTATTTTGCTGTACATTTTCAGGCTTCATCTCATGCTGTTTCTGTCAGCTAAATTACTCTTAACCACTTCTCGGCAAGTGGGAATATATGTATTGTGTATCATAGGTTTTGGCGTTTATGATGTAATAAAGATTATCAAACCAAATTCCTTGTTGTATTTAATGATATACTAATACTTTTTCATACAGTGAAATGCACAGTTTAAGTCCTATTGAAATTTCAATTATAACTTGAAAACAATCACTAGATTAAATTTATTGCTCACCTATTTATATGAATGTCTCTATAATTGATTTTCATTTTATAATGAAAGTGTATTTTCAATGTTTCTGTAATAATCACCCTTTTAAATAATTTCTACTACTTTGAAAAGTTGTGATTGTAAAATAGTAAAATGCACGTGTTGCTAGCGGTAATGGTGCTTCCGAAATATTCCTTTTTATTCAAGTGTCCACATCCCCTCCATCTTCGCATGCATCTCTGGCTTCTGCAGGACTGAACTCGTGCCACTGCAACCAATGCCGGGAAGAAAACTGGACAGTAATCGAACAAGACTTGAAAACTCTAAAAGCAGCAGTCTCCATTCTTACGAAGCAAAATGAAAAAGTTCTAGAACAAAGCACTTTAAAAGCAGCTGTCTCCACTCTTACGAACCAAAATGAAAACATCACGAAAGAAATACGGCTGCTGAGGAATTTGATTTGCAACAACAATACCGAACATTTACATATGGACGATTCAAAGCTGCCTAAGCTTCCGCTGAAGAGCATTGACGACATCAACGCCCTCGAAGAAACCTTGAGCAGTGCAGAGGAGAGAAGTCGTTTGATACATCATCTGTCGCTTGTTGGAGGGTCCAAGTTTACCTCTGTTATACACAACGCCATGAAAGCGCTCTTAAGCAAGAACTTGGCCATGGAGTTCAGTTTAGAAGGCAAGAAGAAACGAGCATTCAAGGCGTTGAAAGCTCATAAGTGTATTGTTGGTAAGTTTTTAAATGTTATGTTTTGAGTGAAGTTCGTGAGTCGTGAAAATAATTTTATTTACTCTAGTTAAAGAATGACATGAATTGAAATAATCATGTTTGTGCTCCGCGGAACTAAATTGAAACCTAATGATGAGATCCATAAGTTGCGTTAAAGATATACTCTCAATACCACTTCTTTCTTGTCCTACAGAAGCTGTCATGAAGTCCCCACACTGCCAGGCTGCAACAGTGTACGACATCAACAAAGTTATTAGCTTGAATTTGACAGGTGCTCGGGACAGAGACGAGGGCAGGAAACGGCGATACTTTTCTCAGGCACCCAATTCCTCTGCTGATCAATCTCAAGAACACAAGAAGATCAAACTTCTTGAGAACACAAAAAGTCCAAGCATCTCAAAAACACAAAAAGTTCAAACATCTCAGGAACACAAGAAGTTTAAACATCTCAAAAATGCAAGAAGTTCATAATCAGCAAGTCTAGTTCAATTGATATCGCCTAATAATGTTTCCCTACAAGTATGACACATTATTTTCTTTGTGTTAAGACGGAGTAAAATTGAAAACTATAAACAAGAGGAAGGATTTGGCGATCGACGTTCTTGGCAACATTTCAATTCAATAATGTCAGGATGATCGACAGCATTTTATGATTTCTAAATTTTCTTGTGTGCCTCACATGCAAAACATTAAATTTCAATTCTTATTCCAAATAGTCCCGTTTTCCATATTTCCTCATTCTATTCACTACCTCCGCGTTTCCACAAAATTCATGAATTTCTAAAATTTTTGTGCCAGCTAAGCAATAGCGCTGAAACCATATCTACGCCTCATCTTACCCATGCAAGTTATTGTCTTGTATAAGTTATTGAATACGAAAGTTGCAACAATATCCGTTGGAATTAAAATAGAAGCTCTCGGCTTATGTGAAGCAATAGGACAGTATGAAGTTTATTTCTAATATTTTTTGCATTTAAAAGTGCAGAAATATTTATTTTTTAAGGCTATTTCTCGCTTGGTAAATGTTAGTGTTTACTTCTTGCTAATTTATAAGCTTGCAGGTGCCTTGTAAAGTCACGGTAAATATACGGATAATAGTCTGTATTCCTTGCATGTTATGAAATATTGATGCCATAAATAAACAAATGCCGTTCATTTGTTTATTTTTGAATGTTCGATAGAGATTTATTTTTTTAATCTGTCTATCAACTGGTTAAACTTGCAGCTGAATTCTAGTTTCATTCGTAGCATCTCATTGCAAACAAATGCGGATATACGAGTTTGTTTATAACATAGATCATTGAACACGATGATTTGCATCGTTCCATACCATCGAATAATTGACTAGTAAAAAAATTTTCTTAGCATTTGTTTAACTTGTCATTCCTTGAACGTTATCACGTTATTTTGTTGTTTTGTGGGGATTGACTCCCGACCATATTATATCTTTGACGCCAGTTCAGCGGAGAGTCAATTGCAACGAAGGGAATTAAAATGAATTTTTTTCGTAGAATTGAGTCAGTTCCTACATTTATCATCAATCTAAAAGTTAAAAATCCGGCGTTATGAGTACTTGACACACGAATGTAAAATGGCTGTAAGACAATAAATCGTATACGCAGTTTCTACATCAATGAGATTGCAGGATATATTTCCAAACTTTGTCTCATAAAACCAGGCACTGCACACCATCCCTAACAAACTCGTTGATATTTGAGTCTCGCTATGAGTGAGACTACATTTTTGCAAGCATTATTACCAGATAATCAAGGAAGTTTGTGCACTTCAGGACAATTGGCTCAAGGCCATCCACGGGAATGGATGCAAGTCGAAAATTTGACAGCGCGTGTCTGCGCGTATCACTGATACATGCGCGTGATAATAAGAGGTGCGCGTGTATTCTTGATTGCAGGAGTCATGTGCGCATCGCATGAGGCAACTTTTTTCCCGACCATGTCGCGACTGTGACGTGACCGCGGCAGCATCAGTTTGATAACCGGGCACTCTTTCAGCGGAACTGACAAGTGTCCTCACGCCTCACTCTCACGAGCATATAATTATCTAAACATTGGTGATTCCTCCAAAGTGTCTCGCATAGTTCTTGAATTAATGCTTCGATGCATTCAAAATAACGAAGTTGCCCAGTAAGTATTTTTTTAAGAAAAAAATGGATCATCGGTGAAGATATTTTACGTTTTATTCTAACAATATCGTGATCATTACAAAGAAAAGATGATAAGTTTCGGCAGTATTTTATGGATATTTCGTTTACAGAATGATGTATAATTTTGTTTCAAATTAGCACCAATAATTTAGTTTAATTGGTACGATGTCAACAGATTTTACAAACTTCAAATGCAATCCTTCTAAAAGCTTGTAATTTTGGGTGGCCGAACAGGCCTTCTCGTGATAACCTAATAAAATATAAGATACAAAACACCGCAGTGTGATGAGTGTGCAGTTCACTCACCGCAGTGTGATGAGTGTGCAGTTCACTCACCGCAGTGTGATGAGTGTGCAGTTCACTCACCGCA